ATATATATATAAAAAATAAAATAATAGAATCAAGATCACATGAATGGCACAAAAAACATAAGCATAAGTGTGGGGTAATCAAAATCTGATAGCACCCCACTAAGGAAAAGTTAAAAGTAACGTTAATTTATTGATCTTATACGTTCTATTGATGGCCATTGAGGTAATTGTAGTAATTATAAAATGAGTTCAAGTACTGAATTATAACATTAAATAGTTGCAGCTATTGTATTGTGTGAATTATTAAAAATGATTGTTATTAATTGGCTGGATATAGATTTGCTTTTACTGATACGTTGAATTATGTGTCAGATTCCTTGTGGATGATGTGCCTGTAAGGAGGTACCCGAGGAAGAGTGCTGAAACATTTCCTATGAGGCCAATGTGGCTTTATGGTTCAATATGGGATGCTTCATCTTGGGCAACTGAAGATGGAAAGTACAAAGCTGATTACAGATATCAACCTTTTGTTGCAAAATACAATAACTTCAAAGTGAGTGGTTGCTCAGCCTATGCCCCTCGTTGGTGCCATTCAGCCTCAGCCTCACCATATCAATCTGGTGGGTTGACAAGACAACAGAACAGTGCCATGAGATGGGTGCAAAGACACCACATGGTTTATAACTATTGTCAAGACTCCAAAAGAGATCATAGACTAACACCTGAGTGTTGGGGTTAAAAAACTTTTAAAAACTAAGCAAATTTTGGGGGATGATGCCTTTAGGTCCCAAAACACTGTTCTCCTGTGATTTGTCTTGTTTTTATCTTTCAGAAAGTTTCTTTTCTTTATGAGGGTGACTTGAGATGGGGCCCCTCACTTTACAGCAACATTGATGCAAGTGTATGGGGTTGAGCATTCATGGCTCCCTAGACACACGAGAAAATTTGGAAGATTGTGTGGGTTTTTTCTTTTATTTTTTTTCCTTTGTTTTTGTTATATCCCTTTAGGTGTAGGCCAAAAAAAGAAAGAAAAGGATGCAAGTACCAGAGAAGAGAATAATAATACCATTGTCCAATATGTATGGGTGGGAGAATGTGGCACTGTTGAGTGCGATTATTATACAGATATTCTTCATTTTAAAATGTTACTGTCATTTTAATAATGAAAATGATGACATGTGTGTGTGTGTGTGTTTTGGGGAGAGGGGTAAATATGTTCTGCTCCAAGAGTTGTGCCATGAAACTTTGTTATTATCACTTGAAAAGTATTTGTTACTCGTAAAAAAGCTCACATAATTCATATATATGAGGTCGTGGAAAGTTGATGATAAAGAAGGGGAAAATTATAAATTGTCAATCATATACTACTTTTTATAGTGTATATCACTTGACATTATAAAAGGTGATAAAATTGAAATATAGACATTTAATTTTTTTTGATAAATTTAAGTAAAACCAATTAATAAAAACTAAGCATAACAAAAAATGAAAATGGTAATTTACTGCCATTCTAAAAATCAGGGTAATGTGACCCTTCCTCTAAATAATCAAAATGATATATGTGCTCGAAGATGACAATAATGCATAAAACGTAGGGATATAATGCATAGATCAAATAAATGAGGTTATTGGTGGAAAGCTTTCGAACCATTAATAGAGTGAAAAAGATGGAATGTTTACTAAACCACAGAATGGTTGAGTATTGTTGAATGATAATCCCCTACTGTCTCCCATCCCCACCCCCTTTCTCTGCATTTGGAAATTTTTTAAAGTTACTATATGTTTGATGTGAGATGTTTTGTTAAGTAATTATGAAGAAGATGTTGGCCCCAACATATACAACTTCAACGTATCACAATGCGTTTTTAGTAAAGCACTTTTTCCTAAAGAATCCTCTCTCCTATGCAAACCAATGGTTAATTAGGGACTTATGATTGGACAGGGACCAGAAAAATCACTTTTCTGGAACTCATGTAGGCAAGGGCATTATAATCACCATTGGTCACCGAAAAACAATAAATAAAGCTTTGTTATTGATCATCTGAGGAAAATAAATTTAATTGTGATTTTTTTTTTCCAAAAAAATTTGTCTTAATGAAGGAAACGTCTAACTTTTTTACACTGTTATTGATTTTCTTTTGAATAAGTTTATTTCATATTTTTTCAATAATTTATTTTTAGCCTGAGCTATAAAATAACTTTTGAACTAAAAAATGTATATAATCATCAAACGATTTTTAATTTTATTTTTAACTTTAGCTTAAAAAACGCCAAACAATTCTTTTATAAATTTGAATTCTTGGTTTGTTCTGCCAGAGGCAGAGATGTCCAACCGTAGGTCAGGTGTTTGATGTTGGATATAGTTTTTCTCTCTAGATGCCTATGAATTAGGTATCTTGGGGACAGCGGATCACTACTAGAGGTGGCAAAGCGGACTGCCCGCCCCGCCCCAGCCCGCCAAAAAGCGGGCTGGCCCGCCCCGCCCCGCCATTGAAGGTGGGCTAGATATCTCTGCCCGCCCCGCCCCGTTTGGGCGGGCTGCCCGCCAAGCCCGTCACATTTTACACTAAAAATTTAAAAAAAAAAAAAAAAAAAAATCAGCCCGGGAGGGCTAGCGGGCAGCGGGTTTAGAAAACTCAGCCCGCCCCGCCCCGTTTGGCTGCCGGGCCGGGCCGGCGGGCTCGGCCCATTTTGCTAGCTCTAATCACTACACACTATATGACGACCTTAGTCACAGAAAGTGTATGTGCACTGTTGTGATTGCATAAAATAAAGTTAGAGAAAGCGATCAGTCATACCTATAATATTTAACTCCTATTTATAATGCTTACATTTTAGCTTGCGCTACTTAAACTTCTTGTAAGTATGGACCTTACTCATGTCCATAAGATGGTTATTTGGGGATGAGTCTATCAAAGTCTGAATTCTCTTCCTTTCCCTCCCCTGTACCAAATCTATAATCAGCATTCTGCTTTTTGTTTGACACATTAATACATTCAGTGGTCCCATACAAAGAATCACCCACCTACCAGATATTTATTTATTTTCATTGAATAATATCAAGAGAAAACTTCACTCATAATCCTGTGATTCATTTCAAAATTATTTATATTCTTGTAATTTTTTTATCATATATGCTCTTCTGATTTGTATAAAGTAAAAAATCATAGGAACATATGTGATAAAAAAACATACTCTTTTGCAAATCACAGGAACATATGTGATAAAAAAATCACAGGAACATAGAAGATTTTTAAGTAAATCAACATTGGTCAACTTTTTCCTAAGGGAGCGTTTGGTTAAAGGTTTTTATTTGATTCCCTATCTATCTTGAGGTGGCATTCTATGATTGCTTTGTTTGATAGAAAGATTAAAAAAATTTAGTTATGCTTCTCTTTTCCCCATCCTTACAAGTATGTGCAAAATCAAAAGCAAATCATGGTAAAAATGTACCATTTAAGATGTAATATTCTTAAAAAACTAGTTAAAATGCAAAAAGGTGAATGAAGAGTGTTATCATATTACCCTCTTCTAAGTACACATGTCTACATCTCTAAAATATCAAGGGTTATTTTTAGTATTTCAACACATTTACCCATCATTATTTCACCTTTAACCAAACAAAGACTCATAAAATTTAACTCAAGTTTTCTGGTAAAATTTTGACCAACCAAACAATTTTTTTTTAACTTTCCTACCAAATTCACTTTCCAACTATTTTCTTAGTAATTACATTTTCCTAGTATTCAAAAAAAAAATTCTCAACCAAACGCCCTCTGATGTGAAATAAGGAGCGTTATAATTTCTCCGTTTGAAGCCTCAAGGAAAGGAAGAAGTGCGTACTTCTTTACAAATAGCACGTCTTTATTACGGGGACAGTTAGTAATTTCCAAATTTTATAGTAACCTATTAGCCAAGACCCAAGTCTCTTATCTCTTGCATTCAATTTTTAAGCTATTTTTTAACAGCTTCAGTTCAGATGCACCCTAACAAGTTGGGAGCAAGAAAGCCCGACATAGGGTTCACGTAAAAGAAGTGAAAGAAGTAACTTCTATCGCAATTGGATGGACAAGAAATTCCTACGAATTATAGGAGCATTATACCTAATTCATTTAATTTACAGTAAGGAAACAGAATAATCAATACACTCTCGGATTAAATTTTACATATCCATTTATGTTTTCTCCCATCTTGTATTTTCATTTAACTTATAGCTAATGCTAGTTCTGTAGCTTTGGATAGAGTTATTTCTTGTAAGTTGTGTTATTGACCCGAATTTAATTAAAACAAAATTATATAATATAAGAAATTTTTCATGTTAACGTTGTTTACTTTCTACACGCTGTAATCATTTACCTTTGTTTTTGGTAAATGTAATCATTTACTTAACCTAAACATTCGGACTTAAAAATTAAGGGTCTTCTTTTTTAAGCTTTTTTAAAAAAAATATTTGTCAGCTGTAATATAATTTTGGTTTACTGCTTTTTCAAAGGCTACTATTTTTTTTGGTAAGCAAAGGCTACTATTTTTAACTTTATGAAAAAATCTATCTGATTATTATAAAAACTTCAATAAAAAATTAATATAAACAAAAAACTTATACTAATAAACAAATCCTTATTTATAGTACACTGTAAATAAATAATTTAGTTATACTACAATAACTTGTCTGTTTAGATTTTCTAGCAGATCAATTTAGTAAGTAAAAAATCTCAAAACAATTGTAATTATTTAATTTTGATTTCCCTTCATCAATCACTAAGAGTTTTAAGTTTTTAAATAGTTAGTATAATCAAACACTTTAATATTTCCTCATAAAATTATATGGAAGTATAAATATCTTACATGTAAATCAAAATCAAATCTTATAAGATTGAATAATTTATTATTGCATCGAAATAACTTTGTATTCATACTGTACCCTTAATATATCCTACTATTGTTACAGAATATCAATATCAATATTACATCTCTAATACAGAAGATATAACAAATTATAAAAGGGAAAAAAAAACCCCAAAAAAATATTGAGAAAAACGAACAAAGCATTTAAAGGCTCCTAGCAAAGCAATAAATATCTCAATTACTTTAAGGACAGCTGAAATTCTAAAGATAAAAATAATTTAGAACCAAAAAAAATCAACGTCAATAAACCCCGTTTTTTCTTGAAAGGACCGCAATGACATAGTAATTGCGAAATAAAGAATTAGCTTCCTCCTCACAAGTTAAGTATAGAAAAGCTGCAATGTATTCTCGGTTAAACAACCAAGTATTCCATGGCTAGGTGAGTACCTAACATCACGGGCCTGAGCTGGTATTTTGAATTGCTGAAGAACTCTAAAAGATGGCAACTCACGCAAGACCAAATCACATGTATCTTCATCTCCAGAAGCAAATAATCTGCTCTGATTCTCCATGTCCATAATTACACATTTTGGTAGTCGAACTTTACTTACATTGGCATATGAGGAACCCATCTTTTGGAAAAAATGACTGCCCATTCTCTTGAACAAGACATGAGAGCCCAGTACTCCTTGTCCATCAACATAAGGACTGGGCGATGGTTGAGAAAGAGGCACATCCATCGACATGTCAAATTTTGGACGGTATGAAACAACAATGTCATCACTGCTTGGGCAATAGGCAAGGGATATACAAACTCCTTGATTATCAGTTTCAGGAACCACATATGGCCTTCATGTTAGGGAAAAAAAATGAAGCATTAGGAGATCTAATAGAGAACGACAAAATTTCCACATGACTGCTTTCAAATTACAACTGGCCTTATGGAACCAAATAAAATTATGCAAAGGAATATAGGAATAACCCATGATACAATATATCATATCAGGCTCTAAATGCACAGTGAAATATTCGAATGTTTGTCCAGAGTTTAAAACTAATTTAATTTATGATAAAGTAATATGTGAATTTCCAAAACGCAAAAGAAACATGACAATAACAAAAGAAACAAACTAAAAGCATTTCGAGAAAAACAAGTTACAAAAACAGAATGCTACTCTATCAAACAAACTAAAAAATAACAGGAATAAAAGGAAAGAAGTGAGGGAAAGTTTACAGATGGATCATGGAAGAAATATTGGAAAATGTACAAAAATTTCCTATTGCCGGCACAACTTGGAAAACAACTCTAATTGTACACACACGTGAGCCCACACAAACTCCAGAAGAGGAATTAAAAAAATGTCCATCAAAATTGAACAATTACAGTTTTCACTTGGTAATCAGCTGGGAAAAGTTGAGTTCAATATTTACAAGGCATTGATAATAAAAACAAAAACAAAAACAAACATAAAGTTAATATCCATAAAATGTAAACAACCTACCGTTCTTCAGAATCAATGTTCCACTGACAAAGGCCAGCGGCAGATGCAGATAGGATGGTTCTAACACCAGAAGAAAGACCTGAAGTTTGTGCAAGAGATTGTACAGTATGAACAGGGTTGCCAGTCGACCCAACCATAGATTTCATAGGTCCTGCAGTTTGGCGCATATCAAAGACCAAGACAGAACCATTCTGCAGGAAAGTTATATGAAGATTAGCATTTGAAGTTCCTACGTGCAATAATTACAAAACCAATGTGCTGACCTGTAGCCCAGCATATATGTAATGCGAACTGTTAAGATCCCATGAACAAGACCAAGCAGGAACCTGTAATACAATTCTAGTAAGGTGATAAAGCCCGAGGAGAGACTAGTAAACTCTGACTTGTGACAGATTGTAAGGTTTAAGGTTAATGTTCGTACATGGAAAAAAATTATTACAAAAATATATTTCTACAATTAGTTTGGAGCATTTTCTCTTACACAATTACAAAATTATTACAATTCTAGTAAGGTCCTGTTCAAGTGCGCTGTTTGCTATTATTTGGTACCAAGGTTGGAGAGAAATACAAGAAATTTCAGGATAGCTGCTTACTACAGCATCCTTTATGGGATCAAGAAGTTTTCTTAGCTTCTTTGTTGTGCTTCATCTAATGGGTACTTGAGAAGAGCGTCTTTCAAAAACATGCAAAGAAATTGGCTAGTTCTACTTAGATGAAGTGCTGTCTTCTTGGAAGTTCTTTTTGGTTTTCTTTTACTTAATTCAATGAGGATATCTTACACTCTGCTTCTGTTCTGTTCTCTTCTTTTCTTTAATAACAAAAATAAAAAGCTACATGCACAAGCAATACAATTCAAAAATGCCACAAAGCATAGCAAGTATAAACTAATACCGACTGCTTTATCGCTACTAATTTACTAAATCAAAATAATGGATCAAACTTCTACCTGTAGATCATAACTGACAACAAGGTTGCTGCTGCCCATGCTGTAACAACATGAAATACATTAATGATCAAGTTTTACCATGTCAGACAAAATGAATTAGTACTTAATGCAATAATACCTGAGTACTGATAATTTCTTCTCTAATGATGCATAAAGGGCCAGGCTACTATTAGGAGAAATATGTAGGTCTCTAATACCATTTGTAGTGGAAGGCAGTAAGATATCTTCCATCTCAAATGGAGATATCAAGCTCATCTACAAAGCCAGGTTTCCAAAAAGGTTAAAGTGAAATCCTTCATTGAATAAATAGATGATACTAAAGCCAAATACATATTTCAAATTGAAGAGTCTTACTTTAGTTAGCAAGTGCATTCCACCTATCCCCTTCGGCTTTTGAGCAATTAATAAAATTTGATTAGAAGGGTCCATATCAAATACACGTGCACCATCCAAATGAAACGCTTTCTAAACAGGGTGAAACAAGTAAATAAAATTCAAATTATCAACAGAAATAGACTACACCATAATACCATATAATAATATTTAACAAAATACACCTATTATATTCCTGATATATGAAGAAAAAAAAATGTTCTTCTGGGGATAGAGTACATGAAGCTTAAAGTAAATAAGAGAGAGAAAATAGCATACCTGCATTTCAAAATTGCAAAACGATCCTATTCCATGGGACTGTGAGCCAAAATTGTGCTCTACAAGATACATTCAGTAAAGGTCAAGTTGCTCAGAACCACAAATTAATTGGGGGAACAAAACTTGAGCAATCAATGAAATAAACAAACAATATTTTTTTTTTGTTGAAAAAGGGTATCTAATTATTGTTGGAGGTGAAGATCCGTCATCTGAATTATGAAAGGATGATTACCAGATTCACATCTCCATTGAGAGTTTCCACTGCTATTTATCAACCCAGATGGCCTGTTCTGCATATCTAGTAGCAGCTGCTCCAAATAAGTGTTTCTCTACAGGACCAAATTTAGAAACTAAAATTATTTAAAACCACACATACAAAGATCCACAAGGATCAAAACAGAAAGGCTTATATGATTTACACCAAATCTTTACATATATCCAGCTCGAATTATGTCCCTATGCTCCTCGAGCACATACCTCAAATTTTAACATCCAAAAAGTTATTAAAGCAACATGGTTACTAAGTAACAAAAAACGTGAAGATGTTACATTACTGGTTCTAAAGGAGGTTAAAAAATGGCAAGGACATTATCCTAGATGCTCTAACAAAGTAGGAGTAGAGGAAAAGGGTGAAAAGATGTTGGTAAACATGACACAACTATGCCATCTGTTCCATATAATATAAAATATTACCAAGTACCAAAAGTGTATCTAGTGTGGAAAGGGCTTTGAATTTTGGAAAACCATAGATTTACTGCGATCAAATGGTAGGCATCATTTAAAGAAATGCCTAAGGGGGCGTTTGGTTGAGGATAAATTTTTTGAATACTAGGGAAATGTAATTGATAGGAAAATGGTTGGAAAATGAGTTTAGTAGGAAAATGTAAAAAAAGTTGTTTGGTTGGAAAAAATTTAAATAGGAAAATTAGGTAACTTTTATAAAGTCTATGTTTGGGTGTAGATAAAATATAGATAGGAAAAAAAGTAACATTTACGAAAATAACCCTGTTTCTTCTCTCACCAAATTTTCTTATCTCTCTTCCTTTTTTTTCCCCAATTCTTCGACACCTAAATTCCCCACCGCCATGGCTACTACCCCTCCCAATAATCCAGAAATCATCACCCGTTCATCAACCATGCAGAAAAAGGGGTCAACATAAATAAATAGAAGCCCAGGTCCAGAGTTATTTGTGAGCGTTAAACAGCTTTTTTAGGCTAACACCTTCAACCACACAAACCAACACTCAGTTCTCCCCCACCGTGCAAAGTCACTTCTTCCGGTCACCGAGTGGAAAAGTGGTCTTCAACACACCCAACGAAGCTTAGCTGAATCAGTTTGTATGTACTCAAATACGCTGGTGACCACACAATCAAGATAAGATCGGAGGGTATTGTGGTCTCATATATTGTGGCTCTACGTGATTTAGCCAGGTTTCTTTAAAAAACCACCTTCTACAATGGATTCTGAACAGTGCAGAAGCATAGGAAAATGGCACAAAAATGAGAATGGTAGGCATTGATCTTGCCTAGGTATTCACCCAATTCACTCTCAACCAAACGCATGCTTTGAAGAAAGCCAACTTCATTTGCATGGATTTATTTCAAAATCCACCCAACCAAACACCACCTAAAGGATACCTTTGTAAGCTTCTGAACTTCAAGATGCAATGCAGCTTCTCTCTCTTGCCATCCAGCTTCTTTCTTGAGCCAATCACCACCCTGAGAACATAATTGGTATATTTTCTTAACCAAGAATTATGAAAATACAGCCTTCTATATTCCAGAATAAATTAGCCCGCACAAAGCCAGAAAGAAATGCTAGCATATGAGAGTGAGGGAGTTTCAATGTCTAGAATGTAAACCCCTAACAAATAGCTAAGACAACGGTTATTTTTATTTTATTTTCCTAAAAATAAATGAACCAAGCAACAAGAAAATTTTCATAATAGCATCCTACCGTTCTTTCAAGGGCATCACATTTGGCCTCAAGTGACCGAATTCTCTGTCAACAATATAAAAAACCAATCAGGCAAACCAATTTCTGAAAAATTTCTTTATATATTTCAAATACACATAAAGTTGACTCAACCTTCTTAGATTCTTCATCGCCAGCAACTACTCGGGAAGCATAGAGTTTCCTCACATCCTTTAAGCAACAGTTCCTATTACATTGAGGACACTAGAATGAAAGAACACACAAAGGATGAATGTCAAAGGCCTTTTTTTTTGTATATCGATTTCGGAAAGCACTTTACAACGACGGTAGACAATTACCTTATTCCGCTGTTGAAGCCATTTTTTGATACAAGACATACCATATATGTGTCCACAAGGAAGACAACTGAATTCATTCATCCCAAAAAAATAAAAATAAAAAATAAATCGAGTCAATTACTACATTAATCCCGTGTATTCATTAACAATTACTGACAACAATTTCACAATAAACATATCCAATTAAAAAACACACACGAAGTATTTTAGGATAAGGGTTTTAAGATTGCACCAGATGTGATGTTCGCCGTTATTGTTCCAAACATCCATGCAAATAGGGCAAATGAGGCCATCAGTGTCGGTGCGATTCCACTCAGACGAACAGGAAGTATCTCCTCCTTCGGTTCTACGGCGTTTGTACTGTGTTTCGTCGGGGATAACAATTACTTCGTCGGAGGTAGGACTACGAGGACCGTTATGCGAAGCCCCAGGTGACGGCACAGCGGGTACATAATCTTCGTCGCCTTCATCTTCGTCTTCTTCATCTTCGTCTTCTTCATCTTCGGTGAATCCATATTCTGCTCCACCTCCAATGACATGTGCCGCTGCAACTTCGTTCTCGTCGAAGAATTCAAACCGAGTCGCCATCACACCGTCGCAGGAGAAGAGGGCCGAAGTGGAATCAGTAGCCCTAAATTTCCATTAATTTAAAATCGTAGGCTCTGTGAATAGGACAATTTCGCGCCAATGTTATGCATATCGTGTGGATAATTTGAATTGATAAATTGTTGATCCATTCTAATTATTTATTGACTGCGGGTTTTTGAGACTAATCTGTATTTCATTTATTTGTTTTTATTGTTAAATTTTGAAATTTATTAGTTACTAATAAATAAATATTTATTTTAAAATAATATTTCTGTAGATTAAACAAAGTTTTAATAATTATAATATTCAATTTTGGGGATAGATTATTCTATCAATCTTTTTTTTATATTGTTATGGACCCATATAAGGGGTTCATTAATTGACAGGCTCAACAAGAGGCAATCTAAGATACAAAACAAGCATAATTACGGAAGGATATTAATCCTAGTACGACAGCATGAAGGATATTAACTCTCTCTTAGTGTTATGCTATCATTGTGCGCACACACTCTACTTTTGGCAAAGCCGTTATTCCTTTAGGGCATGTTTGGTGCATAGTATAGGATAAGGTCTGATAGTATAAGACCTGATTAAATTTTAATATTATCCAGCGTTTGGTATGATATTGTATACGATAATATCCTCCAATATTTTAAAAATTAATATATTAAAAAAAATTATTTTAATATATAAATATTGAAATGATGTATTAGTTCTTGAGAATTGTACTTGCAAGCAATATTAATACATCAATCCATTATCATGCCTAATCCACCACTTCTAGGCCGGATTAAGTTATACATCATTCTGATGTATAAAGGCGTCATGTTGTATAAGCTTATACTATACGATGATCACACCAAACAACTGAAAATGTCATAATATATAGTATAAGCTTATACTATCAGGTCTTATACTGTTATACATCATACCAAATAGGCCCTTATTGTGCATAGTGATCTGTTTGACTCAAGGGTATCTCCTTCATAGATACCTTGAAGAGGACACTAGATCCAAGATCAACATACTAGTCTATAGGATTAGACACCTCTGTCTGCAAGACAAAACATATTTCTACCAATTTTTGACAATGTTAAACAAGATACACGTGAAAAAGATAGATAAAATAATATATCCTTGATTTTGATCAATTTTAAATTTATACACAAAACAAATTAAATAAATTCAGATCAAATCAAGTTTAGCTAAAATATATTTAGATTTTGATTTTATATATTGGTATGACCTACGTTGCACCGACACGGACATGGAACACTACATGACGCGACACGCCAATACGTAAATTTTAAAAAATGTTGAATTTCAACACGTTAGGAAATATTTTAATATTAAATAATATTTTTAATATATATAATATAATTTATATTTAATACATATAATAACTTATAATAAATCATATAATCAATCAAATAATATATTTGCGTTAAAAGGAAAGGCAAAAAGGAAATATTACAGATCATAAACTTAATGGTTCTCAATTAATTATCTCTGTTTCCTAACTCCGATTTCATTTGATTGAATATTATTTAGTTGAATGATTTGTTGACTAGGTGTTTGATTAGTTAAAATTTTGAAATTTTCAAAATTAATTCTGTCCTTTTGAAATCAATCCTCATAGTAATTATAGTAACCTTTTTAATTTAAATATTAAATAAAAAAGTGTATTTGAAAAGACGGATGGAGTGTTTGTAAGGCTATTTAGTGAAATACATAGGATTAATTGGTGATGGAAGATTGGGATTGGCCGGAAATCTATGACCTAAAATTTGATTGGTTGGTGGCCTGCATGTAGGGGTGTGCATGAGTCAGTCGGATCAGATTTTTGTGCCGACTCGACCCAACTTGGATTTTGTAGGTCAGGTATTTTGACACAACCCGTTTTAATTTGATCCAAATCAGTCCTGATTTGGATTTTTTTGAACTAGTTCAGAACCGGGTCGGATCTGACCTAACATGATTTCTGAAGTGGGTCTGACTTGATTTCTGAAGTGGGTCAAATTCGACCTGACCCATTTTTGACTTGGTTTCAAAACATGTTTTTAATTTGATTTATTTTTTAAACTCATGTAATTTAATTATTTAATTTATTTTAAAATATATAAATTTTATAATAAATTTGATATTTGTTGAATAAATAAAGAAATGTAGTTCACCAAAAAAAAGGAATGTAATTTTAAGCCCCTGCACATGTGAAGCAAAATTAGTGAAAATTAATGAAAAGTAAAGGATGAGAGAAAGCTCTTCCCATCTTAAGATGACAAATCTCTAATTTTAACAATACTAAAAAAGATCATACTTTCGATGAAATTTCTACATTGCAGACGACGAAAATTTTGCCACAAAATTATTTTTTCGTCGAAATACTTTTTGTCGAAAAGCGACAAAATTTTTTCTCTAATGAAATTTTTTACAAAAACAAGTTTTTTATCGAAATTTTTGACGAAATTTAGTTTCCGTCAAAAGTTTTGACGAAAATGATTTCCTCCATCAAATGTTTTAAACGAAAAAAGAATTCCGTCAAAAATTTTGACGGAATGTTTTTCGTTCAAAATTCCGATGGGAATGTGTTCTGACGAAAATTTTGACGGAAATTATTTTGAGGGAAATGTTTCATTCGAAACTTTCGACGAAATTTAGATTCTCTAAACAATTTTGATAGAATATTTTTTCCGTCAAATTTTTTTATCGAAATATTTTTTGTCAAAAAATTTTACTAAAATTTTTGACAGATCTGTGTTGCGTTGAAAATTTTGATGGAAATTTTTTTTATCAAAAAACTTGACGAAAATATTTAGTCAAAAAATTTCAATGAAAATGTGTTTCGCTAAAAATTTCGACGAATTTTTTTTTGTCAAAAAGTTTAACGAAAATGTTTCCGTCGAAAACTTTCGCCGAAATTTGAATTATGTAAAGAATTTTGATGAAATTTTTTTCCATCAAAAAATTTCGATGAAAATGTTTTTCGTCGAAATTTTTGATGAATATGTTTTTTTGTGAAATATTTTGACGAAATTTAGATTTCGTAAAAAAAATTTCATCAAATTTTTTCACAGAAATGTTTTTAGTCACAAATTTTGAAGAAAATATTTTTCGTCAAAAATTTTTGCTAAAAATTTTGATGAAAATATTTTCCGTAAAAATTTTTGACGTAATTGTTTTACGTTAAAACTTTTCTTTTAACATAATTGTGATTTTGTTTTTCTTTTTTTTCACATAATGTGTGTGGGTCAAGTTTTGGGTCAATGAGTCATTATTAAAACAAGTTAGGTCGAAAACTGACCTAAATAAAAGTGGGTCAATATTTAAAACCAGTTCAAAAAAAATTGGTATTTATGGGTCAGGTTAAAGTCAGATCAAGGGCAGGGTAAGTGAACCAATTTTTTTGCACACCCCTACCTACATGTCTTAGCCGTTGGAGTGGCTTCATTGGAACGCATAGGTGGCAGAGTCATAATGGTCTCTACATTAATTTTCTTGAAAGAACATATTTTGAATTTTACTTTCCTAATAACAAAGGGCCAGATCCCCCAACGCCTTGATTTCTCCTAGATAAGTATCTTCGCTCCTATCTTCAGCTTCATCTTCTACAATAACTTCATCTCTTGCATTGGCTTCATCTTTTTCGTTACATTGGTCCACTTGGAAGTCACATGAATTCAAGTGTTTCATCCACCATTTTCGTTTAACTCTTACATCATAATACTGCTCATTCCATTTCATTTATCTCTAAGCCCCAAAATCTCCTGTAGGGTTCCGATGAATACACAGTTTTTTGTTTTTAATTTACCATTTTTGCCCTTTGACCGTGCCGGACACGGTGAAAATTGCGTGTCAAAATAGTCAACGTGTCATAAAATATTAACTGCATGTCGGAACGTGTCCGTATCCAACACACAATTTTTTTAAAAAATAACGTGTTCGTCCTTTATAGGGTATGACTCGCATCACATAGTTAATTGAATTATTTAGTCCAAGCATTCTTGTTAATGGTAAAAGGATGAAATTTAATTTAACATTAACATAATTTCATCCCATATTCCTAAATAAGTATTCCCCAAATGTAATTTATTACGTTAAAAGTAGATTATAATCTATGCAAATCTCAGACAACTCGCCTATTCAGACCAAAAAATATATATTTAATATTAATATTTTTTATCAGCTCTGCATATTGTTGGGCTAATCATAATATGTTGTGAAAGCTTGTATGATTGTGATTTAATGCAGTTATTCTATTGGTCTTTAATTGAACATGATAAAGTATACTTGCAACACATTTTGACACTAAAAACAGAATTTATGTAAGCAAGTTTAAATTTTTATTTTTATTTTGGAGAAGATCCTCTACCCTTGGGCTTGAATTCTCTTATTTATACTAAGGGATGACTAGTTTTGCAGAATCCTCATGATTATTTGTAGCCCGTGAGTATGGAGGAAAATTATCTTTATTAACCATAGGTGTAAGTTGCTGGAGATGAAGTTGTAGAAAAATCGTGATAGAAAAAATTATTAGTGCAACTATTCTTGGACCTAATATATCATTCCATGACAATATTTAAACTAAGAGTTATAATACAACAACAATTCCTTATACTAAAATGTTATAATCTTAATTATTTATTCTTTCATATGGGCAAAATGAACTTGAATTTGAAAAAAAAAAAAAAATTCGGGTGGAACTCCAACATCTAGGTGGTTTAAGCACAAGATTTCTTTATCCTAATCTCCACCCTCGTCTTGGTTGGGACAGCGTCTGGGATGATCAGACATCTTATTATGTACCTTGTGATTATTGAAATCTTAAATTTTTTTCTTAAGATACTATTTACTTATAGCTTAAACCTTTTGACTCATTTACCGAAGCAGTACATTTGTGAAATAATTTATCAAAATAATACAAGAAGACACATGGAGTCATGCGCATTCAAGTTATGCAAGGAAGCAGAGGTCAATCAACATTTATCATGTGACTTAAAGGC